ATCACAGGCACAGAGGCCTAACCTACTGAGCCACACACCACCCCAAGCTGCAAGATGTGGGCCATCCAAGTCAAACTGACATCATTCCCAGACCTCTTTGAACGTCATAAAAACACAGGTGGCTGCTAGAAGTGCTTGGGCTGGCATTTCCTGCAGACACAGAACGCCCTTCTGCATCCCCACGGATACAAGGTATGCGGATAATTAAGAATAATGAGCCGCTTAACATCTGAGGAGATCGCGAGTCGATTCCCCTGGGAAGCCGACACAGTTATTTAAGTGACTTAAAGCAAAGTGGTATTAGGATAAAGATACGAGTACTTAACGGGCTCAGGTCTTAAGATTAATGATCATCGCTGCCTCAAAGGGGGACCTAGGCCAATCACTTGATATGTGGAATAAGACAGGTCAAGTACAGATCTGGCTGCCAAGCTGACTGCATAATTACGGACATTTTAGCGGGTCAATTTTACATCCGATGGCTGATTTCATACAGTTGGTTCCTGCTGCTCGCCTGTTCTGTAGGAAATCAATGAAAACTCACTTTTATGAACCTTTTTTTGCACAGTCTGGAACCAAAACATCAAGACCTTTTGAACCTGCTGTACCACACTGACTGAAAGCTCCCCATGAGAAGCACATGGTCTGCGGGGGACTTTATCATGAGTCTGACTTAAAGGTGCATTTTCCTCCTTTCTCAGCCATGCTCAGTGAAGCTCAACCCAGTCACATGACAGTGTGCAGCTCCACGCCCAGTCTGATTGGCTGCGATGTGAGCATGGAGAGGGACACCGTATGTTTAGTGTCAAACCTGAGATGGTGAATATTTTCAACCCCCCCAGAGATGGATTCCTTATCGCTATCAGGAACATTCTTTCTCCTAGAACAGTTTTTCCCAACCCAGTACTCGGGGACCTCCAGTCTCCCAGCAAAGTTGAACCAAACAATGAAGAACAAACCAAACAATGAAGAACAAACCAAACAATGAAGAACAAACCAAACAATTTAGAACAAACCAAACAATGAAGAACAAACCAAACAATGAAGAACACTCGATAACTGGTACAGGTGCGCTGGGAGCTGGGAGGGAACAAAAATGTGGGCTGTCTGGGTCTCACTCAGGACTGGGTTGAGACACATTGTTTTACAAGAATCTGAGTGTGGCCACCAATTCCAGCCTCCTCATTTAATGTTTTAAGTTTCCATATAACGACAGCTCTCAACCCAATGTTAGTTAAATGCATCAATTAATTTTCAAATCACGGACAAATATGACGGTTTGTCCAGACTGAATGAGCATCACTAAATACTAACCGATGTAAAGCCAGCAGGTCTAACACTCCAGGCTACGCTCTGTGAAGAGCTTCCTGTCCCTGTTCTTCAGAGGTGTTGCCTGAATTCTTTGTATTAAGCATAAAACAAGTCGAATCAAGGAAACAAATGTCATTCCTGCCCGTGAAGGTGTAAGTATATTCAGGCCTGGGGAGATAAAAATTACATCTGTTCCTTATCTCCTTGGGCCTGAATGTACGTGTACAGCCCATCTACCTGGAGAAAATGGCTAATGAGCATTTGGGTTTCCATAACTGTTGGCTGAATATCTGCCCCCCCCCCCAATACTCATGCACGTCACTATTTGAATAATCACACAAAACAAGGGGTTATCTGCTCATACACGTGGCTTGACAGACAAGTAATTATCCCGGCACCCGAGAGCACACTTTGTCAGGGCAGTGGTTTCCCATGATTGTCCCCCCAGGTCAGAGCCGACTCCCATGATGCATGGCGTCGCCCCCCCCGGAGAGCTTACGGAGCTCAATTATGTGCTGCCGCCCCCGGTGTGGGACGGGGGTGTCCGGTGTGGCACATGCCCCTGTACTCCCGAGTTTCCTAGCCAGGCCCGCTGGTCATAATTCCCGGGCCCTGCACTGAATTACTTCATCCAGGCCCCCATGACATCAAACCCCTCCCACCTGGGTCTTCTCCTGGACCAGCCCCCCCCCGAGACAGCAGGCTTGCTCGCAGACACCCACTTTCACGCGAAGCTCACTCCTCCCCCACCCCCATGTTCATAAATACGACGCTGAAAGGCTTCTGGCCCAAAATCCCATCAAAGGTTGGGGGGGGGGCTCTCCTTAAATCCTTTTTGGGGGTGACCTGGTACAGGGACTGCGCAGCGTCTGTCCTTGGACGATGGGCCTGGTACCCCCACAGTGTATCTCTGGTGACGATGCACAAATGGTAAGACATGCACTTAAAGACATTTCATAAGGCAATATCTTAATGACAGCTGCCCAACCTTAAGCACAGGACAAACCACTCCAGTGACTGTTGTATAATATATAACAGGTAATAAACAAATGCGATGGGTCTGATACTCGGCTAGTGAATGGGAAGGATCTTATTGACTATAAAAAAGCTTGTTACAGTACAGTGGATTGGGACACTGGCATCTCCTTCAGTAGAGGCTACCTGTGGCAGGTCAGTGAAGGTCATTTAGAGCTGCTTTCTGATCTCAGCACTTGCATCACCCAGCACAATGTTCATGTAATGTAAGAATATAACCCTACTTTCAAAAAATTGCGCTATTTATTAAACGTGCACTTAAGACTATGACTGTGGGGGCATATGTGGCCTCCGGCTGTCTTGGGGGAGGGGAGGGTCAGGTGGCCTGCTTTATTTGTATCGATTCATTCCACCTGTCCCTAGTTCCCTATGGTATGTAGATATTTGTCCTTCATGATTCGGAATCTTAGGTTGATGCCAGTCCCAGAACTCATAATCTGAATCGCCTCATAATGGCGTGTGTGTGTATGTGTTTGTAGTTTGTGAAGGGATTTGTGTGTGTGTGTGTGTGTGTGTGTCATATGCTCCCTGCCTGACCCCTAAGGCTTCATAACAATCCTGTTCCTCGATCCTGTTCCTCAGTCCTGCTCCTCAATCCTGATCCTCAATCCCCTTCCTCAAGCCTCTTCCTTGCTGATTTGTTCTGACTTTGCACAGACACAGAGATACAGATCTGTAGGTATGGTTCGGAGGCCAGTCATGAAACTTGCTTGCTATTGGTCACCGTGGCAGATCACGGACAGCCCTTCTGCCATTGCTGTAATTACCGCCATATTTGTTACGCGGGCACCCACCCGGGCGGCCCAGCTCCTGAGACCATTACATTGTGGTCCATTTTTCCTCTGGCGCCTCAGCGGACCGTGACAGGGAGAGGAAGCCCGCAGCCAAATGAATGAGGAATCTCGGGCCGGCCATAAAGAAAGGACTTCCACAACCCAATTAGGACGTGACACTGACGAATGTGGCCGAGGGAGGGAGGTGACCCTGGGCAACCCCCACCAGAAAGAAAATTGGGGACATAATATGGGGGGATGGATTGACAAGAGCTCTTAGCCTGGCATAATACAGGAGGAATATTTTGTCATATTATAGTCATTGAGTAATTTTGATCTTGTTAAAAGGCCAAGCTTTATATATATATATGTCTATATGTATATGTGTGTGGGTGTGTAAGAGTAGGATTACTTCCATAATTTCCTTTAATTGGACATAAAAATCTGCTTCACTATATGCTAATTACCCCCTTATAATTAAATGAATATATTCTTCTAGGCTGTGCTTCCAGGCTGTTAAATTCAGTCCACTTTCAGCATTAATTGCTAACGATTTTTATGTGTTTATGTGTGAACTGTCCACTGGCTCTATTCATCATTTAGCAAATGAAGGCTAACCAGACACTAACTGGCGTTCATGATTGCAGCACGCGATTTGGTTTCCGCGACATCCTGGCAACATCACCGCGGTGATTCGCCAGCAACCAAAAGACCCCACATTCAAATTTTCCACACACATGATAGCAGACAAGCAGCATTCTCGAGAAACAATATTCGCAATATCTGGGGTTTCTCCAAACAAATCCAATCATCATCCTGAATTATCGCCCTGTTCTTGACAATCATTTCAGACCTGGCTTGTCCTAAACTAATATTTCCCCAGACAGATTGTTAATAATGTAAAAGCATGAGGCCTTAAACTGAAAGCTTTGGAGGTTTCAGGGATGGGATCTGACATGTCACTTTGAATTACCCCCCCCCCCCTCCCCTCCCCACTAATCTCGTTTGCGAAATAAAAAACAATCCACATTTTCTGCTCTGATCGCTCGCTGCACCTAAACAAAACAAGCAGGTACTCTGATCCATAGCAATAAGCAGGAGATTCTCCCAGTTATTCGGGGATTCAGAGACACTCTGCCGGCTGACATTCCTTCCACGGTGAACTCTGGGATCTTTCAAGGAGAAAATAATAATGTTCCAGGGCTCCTTTACATCTAGGATAAAGCCGAAACTCAAAGTCATCCGCGCGTTCCGGGGAGACGCTCGGATCGGGCGACTCGATCGGATGCCGCGCCTTGTTCCGGGTGTGACACGTGTCACGTGCGCGTCTGAAGCCCCACGATTCCATTTCACCGTGACAGAACGAGAAAGTAAAGCTGTACCTTCGTGACCATGCTGTGGCTCATTTGAATAAACCAGGATGCATTCAGGCAGATTTCCTGATATGAATAATTACAACCACAGTGCAGGATTATGGGAATAGATTCTAGCTACTTGGTCTCACCCTATATAGGAATGACATAGGAGATATGATGGCTGTGGATGGGGGTGGGTGGCAGTGCTGGTAGAATAAAACCCAGGTGGTGCCCCCCCCCAGTGGTCAAACCAAAGCAATTTCACTCTATCTTGGATCTTGGAAGCAACATGGTAACATCTCTGGTGGGTGAGTTGGGGCAATTTGCTAAGTTGACACCCCCTCAGAAGATGCAGACCGGGCCAATTGCTTGCCTTTCCCTTGACAGGATCCACCCCTGACTGAGGGTGGTGTTTCATGTCATTAATACATGTTTTTAGGGGGCAACACAGACAGCAAAGGCCCTAAGGCAGGACTCATGTGGATGAGGAAAAGGGGCGTGGCTTACACCTAAGAGCATGCCTCACCTGGAGGGGTGTGGGCGGCGTAGCAGGTGAGGGCAAGCTGCGGGCCGGCGACTGGCTCTGCTTGTGCGGAGGAGAGGCGGAGGCGGCAGGGCCGTGGCCTGCTGGGGTGGAGGCGGAGGATGAAGAGGAAGATGAGGACTGGTGCTGGCCGGTTGGGGACTGCTGATGCGGTGAGGAGAGCGGATTCTGAGCGTGGGCGTGCGTTGGTCCCGGGTGCTGATGCTGCTGCTGATGTTGATGCTGGAGATGCTGATGCTGCTGCTGATGTTGATGCTGGAGATGCTGATGCTGCTGTTGATGGTGATGCTGTTGGTGATGCTGATGCTGCTGGTGCTGCAGGTGCTGAAGCTGCTGCAGATGCTGGAGCTGCGAGTTCAGGGACGAGGTAGCTGTCGCAGGAGAGAGGAGAGCACGTCGGTGGTGGGGTTTACTCACACGTGACAGCGGTCCCATGGGCTTTCTATGCTGTAACTTCTGAGCCGGTTTCAACTTGCCTAAAGTGCCAAAAGTGATCATTGGAAACCGTCAGCTGAGTTAGATTACGACCACAGTCACCAATCCCTGCAGCTGTGAGCCCAAAATGTAACATCAGTTATAACGGCAGGCAGCCGTACACGCAGGTCACCTTTCGTGATAGGAAGTTATTGTCCGTTTCCCATATTCTGTTTTTCAGGATAGATTATTTACGTAATGTGTACTTTCTAATTTGTTTGTACCACTTTGGTGCACTTTGTCTGTTTGGCACTATATGTATATTTGCCTTTGCACTGCATACTTTTTGCCATATGCACATGAAGCTTCCCTTGGGATCAACAAAGCTGACCTTAATTTTAGATCATGTAGCCCTTGGTCAAGTGGATTTCCTCACCCCCTACATTATGTTATGAAAATGGCCGCCCTTTACAATGGTCATGTGACTGGGGAGGTATCTCACAAGCTTATTAACCTGCGGGAAACACTCAGGCATGCTGTGTGGCTTTTAAAATAACAAACCAGTGCAGGAGAAACCAGTAATTACAGCCAGTGATTATAATGTTAATGAATGCAAAGAAAAACAGCTATTATCGTAATTGTAGGTATTAATCATAATTTTAAAAAGTGCACCGAAAAAAGTGCAACTGAAAAGAATCTGAAACTGAACTTAGTACGCAGGAAATGGAGCAGATCACTTTATTATGAAAATGGGATTGCTAAGGCGAAAATAAGTTGGAGAAGGAAGGAGATTAACTCTGCCTAATTTGGAATCGTGCGTCTGATTTGCAGCACCTGTGTCATGTTGTTTGCCACAGACAGAGAAAACTTCAGCACAGGTATCTGTTAATAGCTGTGTAACTTGCAGACTCATAGGAAAGGCAGGTGCATCATAAGGATAGAAGCGTTCTCCTTCTTTAGGGGCCACCTTAAAGTCAGCTGCCTCTTCCCATCACACGCAGCCTATAAAAGATCATGCTAGCAATTGATTCAGCGACTGGCCCTCTCGAAAAACGTCCTCAAACCCAGAGAGGGGAAATAAATCTAAGGCCTCTGTGAGAGTGTATTTTGCTTTTGCACTCAATTAAAGATATCAGAGATGTATTCTGCCTCCGTGTTTGAGTGTTTATCTGACACAGCTGTAAAGAAAAACCCTTCAGTTTTTTTCGTTCTGATACAAAATTAAATTATGCTTCTACGTAAGGCGTAGGAAATTATGTACTGCATTTACCACACTGCCTACAGTTAAACCACTTTCCTATATTGTATCATTTCTTTGGCTCTTTGAATATATATGAAAAAAATATGAAATACCATGAATACTCTTTTGTTCCTTTTCTGTAGTAAGATAAAGCAGTGTTTATTTCAGAATGAATCAGTTCTCAGGTTAAAATCATTTGAAGCGCTCTCCTCCATGCATATCTGCTTATCGGAGGTGCAGTTTGTACTCTCTTGGATGATAGCTAGATGACTGATGAAGAAGTGCGCCGTGACGCCATGGTAACGGCATCCCATAGGACATAGTAAAACACAGCAGAAGGCAGGGCTTCACTGTGATAAAAAGAAACAGAAAAAGCTTCACTGCTGAACGCATAATGTTAGGGGGTCGTACAAATATCCTGAAAACACTGCAAAATTAATTAGGATATTGTTATATATTTTAAAGACATCCAGTTCAGTGGATTTTTGAAAGGGATATACACTGCATATACACTATAATACATCATATAGATATGTGTTTTGTATATATAAATGTGTTTTCTTGAACTGAATTTCAAAGTCAGTGCTTTGCCAACTGATATTTATTTCCAGTGTGGAGACATTTCACCTACAGAAGCTGAGCAAGCGTTCTATACCTGACATGTTGCTACAGTATATTCATTATCTTGATAGGAAACTTCAAATATAAATTTTGTTTCTCTCCCATGTATTACATGAGCTGCAAACGGATTTTAGCAGGTATTTACACAGTAAAACTGCTGTATTCAGGTAAATAAAAACCCTCCACTTATCTTGTGAGTTTTGTACATGTCCATGGAAACCACAGTTTTAGTCTGCACTCTCTGATAAATGCAGATGTCTGGCAAACACTGACATGGGCTGTCAAAATGGAGTATTGTAGGCTTATTGTTAACCCCATTAATGAAACACTGTGATGCATGATAGAATCGTTTTTGTTCAAAAACTTAACTCACTGCAATAAAGGAAGATTAAATGTTTTTATACCAATACATGTATATATTCATGCAGTTATGGGAGATGTATTTCATTAAACGAGGTTTGTGACATTGTTATTATTGATACTGATACTGAAAAAAATAAACTGCATTACTCAGACTATTAAGAGCAGGATAAAACCACATTAGAAACACATTTAGTTTGCAGACTCTTTTGTCCAACGCGACGTACTGGCGAGGATCAGACAGCGGGGTCAGTCCCTGTAGCAAATGGGCTTAAGGGCCCTGCTCAAGGGGACAACAGTGACATCACTCTGCCAGTGATGGGGTTTGAACGGATAAACTTCTGGAGTCGTACCACGACACGACACTACAACAGCAAATCTGCATGAGCGCAGGCTAGGGAATAGCAGCATGGAGCACACAGACGTCAGAGAACGGCGTTCCTTAGTATAAAGCAGAAAAGTGTATGCAAAATTAATACACGTGCTTTAATAATTCAGCCCACGGCATTTTATATAATAAATAAAAGGGACAATCAAGTCAATTACATCTTTGGTTACCATGGCGTTGTGTTTCTGGGATGCCGTGACAGGCAAGTAGTTGCGTTTGATCCGAGATTTCGGCGGCGTGCTGCCAACTCCGCGCTGCCGCTCCGAAGAGCGAAAATTGCAATGAAAAAGACGAGGACGGTTAACCAGTAAACAGCCCACTTTCATATTTCTGCTGCCTCCTGACACGTTGACACCGCTCTCGTATCAGATCATGAATTATATATAATCTGCACTCGCATCCCGGAGTCCGATTCTCACTTGAAGTGTTGGGGCAAGTTGTCTGGGTAGCTCTGAAATGAGTGGTCGCTCATTTCGCTTGCAAGTGGACCTCGAGACTGTACGCCACGTTTGGGAGGAGAGAGAGAGAGGGGGGGAGTGAGAGAGAGAGAGAGAGAGAGAGAGAGAGAGAAAAAGAGAGGGGAAAAAAAGTTCTGTCAGAAGATTATCTAAACCAGAGGAAGATCAAAGTTGATTCGAGAGTTTCCTCCAGCACTGATCGCAAGGCCAAAGAAAAAGAACAACAAAAGAAAACGGTGAAAAAAGAAAAACAAATGCAAGTAGAATAACCATGAAGCCCCATGTGGGCTTATTATATAGCTGCACTGCAGGTAACTATATTCCTTAACAGAGCTTCTTTATAAAGCCTGTCATCTTGTTAAGACTGTCAAGATCATTGACCTTCCTTCCACACTAACAAGCCGAGCGGCTTCATCACGTCACTCTCTCTCTGCTCCCCGCTTTATTTTGCCAAGGAAGGCATGCGGCACTTTCTGCAGACTAATTGTTTTCTGCTGGCTGCAGCTAGATGAGTAGATGATGAGGCGAGAGATCCATCAAGTTCTTGCATGGCTATGTCTTGTCTTTGAGTTCCTTTGGCTCTTTCTGCTGTACAGAATGTAGCATATCGCCTAGTCACTGTGTAAATGTAGATTGTGAAGTATATTATCTAGTCAGAATGTAAATGTCAGTATATTGTAGTATATTGTTTAGTAAGTGCTCTGGGAGATGATATTTCATCCCATATGTATACATGTATATTGATGGCTGACAGTCAAGATCTTTTGAATCTTGAATCTGAAAATTATACTTTTCAGCTCTCAATACCCGGCTACAGTGTGAACACATGGACAAATTAAATATTACAATTGTAAGGTTAATTCATGACAAACAAGCCTGATGCATCAAAGGAGTCACCAACTCGGGGCAGGGGGGGGGGGGGGGGGGCAGACCCTCATCACCTCAATCGGCACAAATGAAGAACAGATTTCCAAAACTCTCTCAGTACATTTGTTGTTTTACAGATGAGACTGCCAACGACCTAAAGTCAGGTTTCCTTGTCACGTGTTACAGTACTGGGGACCAAAACTCACTCATTCCTCATTTAATACAACCAAGAAATTTAATTGCAAAAAGTCCCCAGAAAAGACCACAGAAATGGCACTTATAAACTCATCCCGTTCACATATCCAGTGGAGAGAGTTCTGAGAATTTCTCTTCACTTTCCCAGATAAGAGGATTACTTAACTAAACCAAAGACCTGGTGTAAACTCTCCAAGTCAGGGGAGAGGTGGACCTCCTGACATCACTGTGGTAGCAGAATGACGTATTGGCGATGAGCTCAGCTAGACATAGGCAAGAACTAGTACTGTTCCGGAAACATTTTAGTCCAATTGTGTCCAACTGAAGAGCAAATTCCCAAAACTCACTCTGTCCACGGGATATGTGTTCCAGAAAATCCCTGTGGACTGTGGACTAAACAAATGATGAGGAGCCCTGACTTTATGTCACTGGCGGTCTCATCCCAAAAACAACAACAAATAAACTGAGTTTTAGAAATTTGCTGTTCAGTTTTAAGACAGAGGGAAACCATTGTAAACAATGTCCCACTAGTTTATCTTAGAAATATGTATCTGCACAGGTATTTGTTAGAGATTATGCTGTAAATATACATCACATTAACTCACGTAGCGGTTCCTGATGCTTGGTGATTCAAGTGCACACTTACGAAGCCAATAATTAATTTCCTTTGGATTAACGGCATCCGTCATATTTTCGGTTTGACTCGTCTGACTGAGCACCAGGAAAGTTTTTCACTTGGCGTAAGAGCCATCATCCTCCATCGTCCATCAGCCATAGTTTTATTTGATTTTTGTTTTTTTTAAAAATGCCAGAGCTGGAAAAACTCCA